GGGGGGTCAATAGAGAATTGGGTGACAAAGTTGTACAGCATCAATGTGAAAGCAGATGATGTTGAGAGATGGTGATAAAGGGAGTCTGGATGTGGTAAGGGGGAACAAGTAGTAGTCTGCCTTCCTTACCATGAGAAGAGTGAGGCATGAGGTATGAGTTAAAGCCAAGTCAACAAACACTTATTAAGCATCTACCATGTACTGGGTAAGTAACTATGCTAAAGACTGGAGATAGAAAGAAAGGGGAGAAAAGAAGCTCACATTCCAATGGGGAGACTATATTCAACAAGATACAGACAGGATAAATTGGAGATAATTTCATAGGAAAAGCACTAATATTAAGAGGAACCAGGAAAGGTTGCTTGCAGTTGGTGAGATTTTAGCTGAGACTTGAGGGAAACCAAAGAAGGCAGAGATAAGAAAGGAGAGAATTCCAGACATGAGGCACAGCCTGTGAATTTGTATGGTTTTGTATAAGGAACAGCAAGGAGGCCAGTGTCATGGGATCAAAGAGTATGTGGGGATGGGGTGAAGAGTAAGATGTAAGACGACTTGTTGATGTTGTCTGTCTTTCATTCTTAAAGTGGACCATGACAACAGGAAGGTGATGCCATGGCTTGCAAGTGAATTGATTTTAGGTGAGGGAGGGCTGTGTAAAGGCACCAATTTCACTTTCTCCTCCAGAGCCATCTGGGTCCAGTTGCAAGATATAGATAAGGATGACTGGAGAAGGCTCTCTATGAGAAGACTAGAAAGGAAAAAACAGGGATATGAAGGACTTTAACAACAAAATTGAGAATTTTACATTTGATCCCTTACAAGGAGCCCCTGGAGTTTACTGAATGCATGAGTGGGGTAACATTGTCAGACTTGTGCTTTAAGACCAATTTGACAGCTGAGTGGAAGATGGACTGAACCACGTGGGGAGAGACTTGAGGCAAGATTAATCAGGTGGCTATTTCGATAGTCCAGGCATGGTGATAAGAGTCTACTCCAAGGTGGAAATAGTGTCCTTGATGAGAAGAGTACATACAGGAGACATGTTGCAAAGATAAAATTGACAGAATTTGGAAGGGGAGTAGAGAGAGTTGAGGATTAAACTTAGGTTGTAAGCCTCAGTGACTGAAAAGATGGTGGTACCCTGGACAGAAATGGGGAAGTTAGGAAGAGAAGGTTTTCTCAATTAATGCCAAAAGATGAAGAAAAGGTTTGGGATGAAAGAACATATATTAATTATAGAGTAGGCATTTCAGAGGGAACAGTGGAAGGGGTGGGTAGGTACATTGTAGTGGAGCTTTGAGCGAAGGAAGTTAAGGCTGAAGTAGAAGACAGTAAAGGAGTTTGTGCCTAGTGTTGGGGAGCAGGATTTGTACATATGCATCTAAGGGGTTTGGTACATGCAAATGGGGTGAACATATGCAAATAGTAAATTCAAAGGGCATAGACAGTCTAGGAATAATATGAAAAGTTCAGTTTTAGACAAGCTAAATTTGAAATGACAAGCTATTAAAGTGGAAATGTATAGCATGAATTTAAAGATCTGAAACTGAAACTAGAAGAGGCAGTTTTTGGCTGTCAATTCTGTAAACATAATAGGCAAAAGAATGGTTTATTGATTCGTTTATTTCATGAGACCATGATCAACATTATGCTAGCAATGAAATTTGTAAAGAAAAGGAAAGAGAAAAACATAAAAAAGGAATGAGATACAGTGGGAAGAGTACACCTTTTAGTAGGGGCAACATGGAGTATCCTAAGCAGTTAGGGAGTTCAGAATGATGTAGTGACCCTGAAGCAAAGAAGAGAGTTTCTCGAAAGTGGGGTTGGTTAACAGCATTTAATGTTTCAAAAAGATTAAAAAGAATTAACAACTAAGAAAAGAAGTTGGTGCTTAAGAGGTAATGGGATGACTTTTAATGGCAGTTTTAGTACAGTATGGGAGACAGAAGCCAGATTCCATAGTGCTCTAGAGATAAATTGGAGATAGTATAAACTGTTTCAAACCATCCTCTCACCACCCCCTCAAAGTTCGGTGATTAAAAGAAGCTATCTTAATCAAGGGAAGATGCTGTCCTAAGATAGGAAAGACCTGGGTATGTTTGTAGATAATGGTATACCATTACAATAATTAGCTCACTTTAGTATTTGGGACAATATAATGGCCCTAAAGGTCCATGAGGTTCTCTCTTCTTTGGCTTTAGGGAATTATTTTAGATGAACAACTGAGTTTAATCACAATTGCTCCCTAGTAAGATTTCCAACATTTAGGCAAAGATTGGGCCCTCTGCCTAAATTTACACTGAAAGCTATCTCTCATTAATCTCTGATCTCTTCATGGTTATATCAAAACTCAGTTTACTGTAACCATTTGAGTAATGAAACAGCAAATTACCCTATAGTATTTGTAGAAAGACAGCAACTTGGAGGGGAGTTTCCCTGGGAGTCCTCTTGGCCCAGGTCTTCTACTCTTAAATGTCTGTACAACCAATTGCCTTCTCCAATGTCTCTCTCCCATGACACAGCTCATTCCTACCTTTGTTCTTCAGGAGTGTGCTTACCATCACTTAAACTTTCCAATTCCAACCACTCAATGCTTTCTTTCAATACACAACTCAGAGGGTGTTGAAAAAAAAAATCCTTACCTAGACTTCTCCTGGTTTCATTTCACATCATTAAATGTCTTTCAAAGACTTCACACTTAATCTAAGGTCTATGTGTGAGACTCATTAATTGGTCATTTTATCATTTACTTTAAGTAGTTCAAATCTAGCCTAAGTGTAAAGAAAGGATAATAGATGAAAGCCCTGGGAGATGAAGAAATAGAATGAAGAACCTAGAGGGGGGATTATGCTTGGAAAGGAGAAATAAATACTTCTTTCTCTAAGAAAGGAGTCTGTGGAGAAGTAAGTGAAGATAAAAGAAAATTTTTGAGGTGATGAGGTTGATGTGACTAGATTCTGTGATTCTTCAAAGACACTGGGAGTCTGATTTTCATAGAATTATAGAACTCTGCAACATGAAGGGATTTTTAAAAAAATTTACACTCTCATTTGATAGATAAGGAAGTTTTCCTTATCAAAGGATAGTTGGCTATGCAAAGGAGCCAGAGAATCTTCACTATGTTTGAAGGGACTTTTGACACCATCTAGTCCAACCCACACCTGTACTGAATCTCCTCTACAACAGCCCCTCAATCACTGGTCATTTATCCTTTGAAAAACTCAGGGAAGGGAAACAAAGTACTTCCTAAGACAGCCTATTCCATTTGGATAACTCTAATTGTCTGGAAGTTTTTCTTACCTCAGGACCAAATCTGTCTCAAGAAGTAACTTCTATCTATTGCTCCTGGTTCTGCCCTCTGGGGCTGAACAGATCACTTGGTGGTGCTGAACTGCTCTTAGTTACAAGAGAGAAGACAGAGCTAGAAACTACTGTGATAAAAAATAAAAAACATCAATAAAACTCATTAAAATATTTTAATATTACTGAAAAGTAAACTATGTCCACAATATTACCAAAATACTAGTCCAGCAACTCTGTCAGAAAAGGAAATGAGGTTAGATTATTTTCAATAAACCCATTCTTACTCAATGACCACATAATCCCTTTCTTCCTTAAAGACTGTGGAACCCAATGTCCTCATTTTATAGCTCAGAAAACTTAGACTGAAAAAAGTTAAATGACTTACCCTGTGGTAAAGTCCTAAAGCTGTTAAGTTTCTAACGCAGGATTTGAACTCAAGTCTTCTTGACTCAAAGCCTAGCACTCTATCCACTACACCACCTCGCCAACTCTTAAACTCTAGGTGATGTACTCTACATCCTGGATTTGGAGTAGCAAGGGACCAAATCAGAACAAACAGGTATGCTGGGGATGACAGCTTCATCTATAATCAATTAAGTTAATATATGCAAAGTGTTTTGCAAATCTTAAACTGCTACATAAATGCTACTATTGTTGTTGTTGTTATATATCTCCTCAAACTGCCTTCCCTATTTTTAAAAAAATAAGTTAAAAAGCCAATGGCCTGGGAAGTTCGTTAGTTTAGCTGTTTTGATTTGACATTTCCTTCCTAATCCCTCTGTTTTCTTTGATCTTGACTTTTTACTTCTATATTGTGAAACTACTTTAAAAAAAAAAGACCAGTTTGAAAACTGCCCCAGCTCCAGATGCAGCAACAAACCTCACTGATATACCTCCTCTTTCTAGAAAGGGGTGGGGGAAGCCTATACAACATCATCTCTAGTGGCAGACCCCAGTTGGGATTTTCATTAGCAATGCTGGCCCACCAACCAATTTTTCTTAGCTTTTGACGATTCAAACTTTTTCTTACACTTTATATAACTCAGCCCTTATCTGCCACATCCTTAAAAAAAAAAAAAAAAATCCTCAGTTGATCCTACTATGCCTGCTAGCTACTGTCCTCTATCTCTTTTCCCTTTTATGGCTAACTCCTTCATAAGGCTTTCTCTACTAAGTAGTACCTTCTCTATAGTCTATTAGTTGCCAAATCTAAAGGTCTTTTCTCAGTCCTTGTCCTTCTTGGCCTCTTCTGCAGCATTACAATGCTTTCATTTCCTTCTAAACACTGCACCAAGTTCTCGTGACTCTGTTCTCCCGGCTCTCCTCTCACCTGTCTAAATACTCTAAGTTTCCTTTGCTGGTTCTTTTTCTACATCATACCCACTATGGGCTCTAGATAGAATGCTCTGCACCGTCACCTCTGCCTTAGTTTCCTTAACTTCCTGCAAGACTCAGCTCAAGTTTGCTCGTGCCAAAGGTCACCCTTACACTTACACACTAACAAACTAGAGGTTTCCTGGTAAAGAAGCTTATCTATAAATAGCCTGTCATTAGCTAAGTAGGATCAAGTGCTCATTCTTATGCAGACTTCTCTTGCCTACATGGCACTGGAGTCTAATTTTTTTTTTCCTTTCCTATTCCTGACATCTTTTAAGACCACATTTCTCTAGTAAAATCCAGGACAAAGTACATCATCATCAAATTGCTTAGACAACATTTTATTGATCAGCAATTATTTCTTGAGAACTTGTCAACTATTCTTGGATTGGAAATGTTATCCAAATATGATTGTGGATGACCGGGAAAGGGGCTGAGGCTTTGTTCTTTAAGGAATCTCAAGTAGACAGTTTAAACCAATGAGGGCAGTGTCTTACTAAAGGTTAAGTCACCAAGAGATCCACCCAGGAAAAAGCAATCCCCTTCCAATAAGGGTTATTTACAATATTTGAGAAATGAAACCAAGGGATCCAACATCAGGCTCAATCACATAGTACACAGGTTTGGAGTGGTCACAGCTGGTCAGCAATGTTTATGTTTGTTCTTTATTGCCCATACATAGCTGTTGTTCTTGTCCTTTTGTTCCTGTTAACTGCCCAGACAGCTACATTACCCTCTTTCTTTCTTTCTCCCCTCAAATTCAATCCAGTAATATTTTCCATCTCTTCCACCTGTATCTTGGTCCTTGAAGCAAGTGTTAAGAAGCAAATATGGTTGATGTTTACAACAGGGAAAAAGTTGAGAATTCATTAAAAATATGTGTGTGCTGCCATCTGCATTAACTTAAAGACCTTGCTCTGAATGCAGTACATGAAAACATTGTGTGGGTGTGAGTGCTGTGAGTGAAGCCTCAACAGGCTGGTCCATTGTCCAGTCCAGATTACTTTGTTTCTCTCAAATATTCATTAGTGCACATTTGCACTAGGGATGCTTTGAGAAAAGGCAGGATTATCTTTTGCAATGCTCATCTGAAAAGGTTAAGGATATATTCCCAAACTTTATTAACATTCTTCAATAACTCATTACAATCTACCATGTCATTTATCTAATATTTCTTCTTGAACATATTCTTTTCTTTAGCCTTTATTATTCCTAGGAATAATAAGTTCCATAAATTTATTGCACATTCTTAAAAGTATCCCTTCTTTTTATTCGTCTTAGAGCTACCTTTCAGACATCAAGAAGGAGAGCTTCAATATTTCATGAGAACACATTCAGATGTCTCCCATCTATCCAGAGCATTCCGGATTTCATAAATTGATAAGACTTGCCCCCTCAGCCTTCATTCTTTCCAAACTCGAGTCCTAAGGTTTTTTAATAGATTTTCCTCAAACAGAAGCTTTTCCATTCATGGATCATCCCAGTTGCTCCTCTCTGGGCCTTCTGTAGCTCACTTGGAATTTTCTTGAAGAGGTAGCAATCAGTACCACATTGCGTTTTCCAGATGTAGATTCAGGTTTTTATTTAATGTGGTGTTTACTGTTCTGTTTCCAGTGTGTCCTTATGATATAAGGGCTTTACTGGCCTTCTTTGATGCAACATAATACCGGGAATGTTTTTAAGCAACAGGCTCTAGTGACTCGTAGGTGCTCTCCCTGGGTCATAATCAACAGTTCAGATCTTAGAAGCAGAGCATGAAATATCTTTCTCAAATGCTTTACTTTACCCACTTGTCCATGCTAAGGGCTTAAATGCCACTGTTCTAATTGTTCATGTTGGTCTGTGAGATTCTTCTGCTCCATTTGGTATTTCAGTGCTAAGAAAACCTTACTGTTATCCAAGACTTGGAGACTGCCCTGTGAACTAGAAAATTCCCTGAAATGTTAATTGAGATGTACTGATCCCTGAAGAACTCGAACATGAAAAGTTCTTGACAAAAGATTTCTTATCTTTTGTTTTCTGCTTTTTAAACTAGTTTCTTTTCAGTGACAAATCCTCCCTAACTCCCTAGTAAACACTTTAAGTAAATAAATAAATCTATATCTATCGAAATGATTTTTTTTTAAATGGAACCAGGCAAAGGCCTTTTGAGTCTGGCTTACGAGAAAATGGTGGCTGACTCTGGGTACCTGATGTGAAATTAAACATAAGATTATTTACTTAAAGTCATATTGGGAACAGATTTTGGTTCAACATAAGGAGAAACTTTATAACAATGACAGCTTTTCAAAAAAAATGAAATAAAGTGATCATTACATCACAAGGCAGCTTGTCAGTGGATCATTCAAGCACAAATTGATGGCTATCTGGCAGGAAACTTCAGAGGGGATTCTGACACCAGGTAAACTTCTAACGTCCCTACAAATTGAAAATTTTGTGATTTTACACAGAGGGTGACCAGTGGTCTTACTTTGAGCAGAAGCTATCACTTTAAAGAAATTACTGCCTTTTGATGGTAGAAGTATAAATAGGCCTATTTGGATTTTTCCTGATATGAATGTCAGTCTCATTTAAAGATCAGAAATATGTATTAATGTAAAAAGTAAAAGGCAACTTTATCTCCATAATTTCTCTGGCTTTGCACAACAATCTCTATGTATTTATGGCTGAGGGTTCAATCATTTCTCTTGCAAAACAATTTACTCAAAGGCAACTCTCACAGCAGCTATTTCTCTTCTCTTGATTCTTTTAAGAACCTTCATCTTTTATAAATGACTAAGGACCTTAATAGATGATTTGCTTGTCCAGCCAAGGTCTCAGGAAAAGGCCTTGAAAACTCAAGACTCTGTCTGCTCTCAGGTATGAAATGAAAAGGTAGGAGTGGAAATGGTTCACAAAACTTGGTCCATCATAACTATTCTCCATCTGATTTTCTTTTCTGTTGGGCTTGGCTCTTTAGAAGTCATACATAGTTCTTTAAGCAGATTCAAATCATGACAGTTTAAAGATCTTTTTACAAGGTTAATTACTGATTACTTAAACTTACATACACACACAGCATGTTCCAGTGAAAAAACGTAGCAAACCTCTTTACTTGTAGTATACCTATCAGTTATCTTTGTTAGATGCTGTACCTCAGACGGAGACAAGATTCGCTGAAGCTGCTGTAAATATGCAAAGAAGGCAGGATTGACCCTGGGAAAATGTCTTAATATTTCATGGCAAAACCAAGATAGTATCCATCTTCATACAATGCTTTGACATTGGGAACTTAAGGCCTGTGACCTGTTGTCTTTTGTCTGGATCCAGGGTGATTACATTGTGAACCAAGTCTCTGTTGGGGCATCAGAGGCTTAATGAATGGGGCTTCTTTAACTTTACGCTGAAGACTATCCTGAGGCCATGTACAATTAAAGTTTGTGATTAAAAAAAAAAGCTTAATTAATTAACATGGTGGCATTGTTATCTAACTCTGGATCTAGAGGAGATATTGACCAAACTCTAGGAGAAATTCCTTGAGAATTAGGAATTGAACAACACAACTCTCATACCTGTACCAGATACGTGGTGCTCCAGACAAAACATGCACTGTAATGATTTGCAAGCTGTGAAAAACCTTTTTCCGCAGAGTGTCCTGTAAAAAACTGATTTCTGTAGAATGTGCTGCCTACTTCCAGTTGCTTCCACTTAAGAAGAAAAATTACAATGCTATATACATATACATATATGTGTATATTATATATATATATGTATATATGTGTGTGTGTATATATATATATGTATATGTATATATACACATATATAGTCCTTTGGTTTTATTTTCCAAAATTTAAAAAAAGTGAATATGCTTTAAATGCCTCTCTGGATAATATCCCTTGAAATCACTTGTCAAATGGCTTACTACACGTCATTTGAGTAACATTATTAAGCAATGTCTTCGTTGGCCTTCATAAAGTGGTTAGAAATCTGAGCGCACAGTAAATACTTTTCAGGAACAATCTGCCAATCCATGAGAATCATGATCATCACAGATATGGCTTCTCCCTCTGTCATGTATCCTTTGAAAGTAGATGGGTTCTTTCATTGTTAATAAGGCCAGGGGCAGTGTCATAAAGAGTCAGTCCTTGTAAATTAGCTTCTACATGTAAGGAAATTTTCTGAAACACAAAAGAGAATTATAAACAGCTGTTAGGTCTTTGAGGATGCATTGCGTCTTTGATATACTCTTGAACATCATAGATTCATAAGGAATACGAATGGACAATGTGAATGAAACAGCTGTTCTACTTCTCAAGATTTCATCTCTAAGCAACAAATAGGGACTATGAACTTCTCAGATATTGGAAGCTGCTTTTTCTTCCAACTAATATCCAGCAAAAAGAAACATGCAATTTTTAAGTTTTGGTGGGGTTGATGCAGTTGTGGAACAAGGGAGGGGCAATCATTTTAGAAGACTATTTTTAATGGGTTGTCCTTATTACCAACTAAAATGATACTTCCATGAAAACAGAAACTAAAGTCACCTAAGATGCTACTTTCCAGGAAATGCTATTTGCTGTACAAATTTTAAATGGATTAAGTTAGTAATGTAAGTTACCTCTAATTCAAACAGAAAGACATACTTCTGCAAAAATCTAATTCTATTATGTTTTATGTCAGAGGAATTCTTACCTGAAAATCACGAATATAAGTCAGAAAAAAACCAAAGAAAGAAAAAGACATGGACCATTCTGCTGCAGTGGTGATGATATGAAGTACATATCCCTTAAATTAAAGAAAAAAAAGTGGATTGAGATGCTTAGATTTCAAATAACCCTTACTTTATCTTTCAGAGAATAACCTGAAATTCTTAATTACCATTTCTTCCATCTGAACAGAAAATCTTCACATACAGGCCATAACTAATACTATTAAATGGGGGGGGGGGGGCTTAGGAAAGCCATCCAAAAGCTTCTCTGGATTCATTCTTAGGATAAGGAAGCCAGAGAACTTCTCAGTTGGGCAATTAGGATGCAATTTAGTTATCTGGAAAATTGCTGCATGGCAGAAATGGCTAGAATTTTCTTCCATAAAGCTCACAGAATTTTACAAAATAGCCATGAAAAATGAAAGTATCAGTCTCACTATTTCATTCATCTCTGTAAGCAAGTCCAGTTCAAATGTAAAGATAGGTGTTCAGAGCTTATTCTCAGAAGACAGTTGAAAATAGAATCAATTCTATTCAGTGTTTTACAAAGACTCATTTTTAGCTTCTACGTATATCCTCCTTCAGTAGGATCCAACAAAGTTAAGGATCCCTTTTCCCCCAAATACCCTGTGCTTTCCCCCCCAAAAAATCAAGAGCTATTCCTCAGAGACCAAATTGCAAAATTATTAATTCTTCCAGGCTGCAAACAGGAGAAATTAACCTTACTTCAAGGATAAAAATGCATTTTCTATAAATAAGAGGATTTTTTTTTCACACATAGTGCTATCAAGGCCAAAGTCATGGGTTTGATTCATATTCAGGCTTGTAAATATCAGAAAGAACCTCCTGTGATCACAGAATGAAACTTCCAATGTGATCAGCTGTTTTGTAAATGTGCAGCACTGATCAGCACAGCGTACTGGAAAGGGTGCTGGAGACCACAGAGACCCAGGTTCAAATTCTGCCACTATAAAATTTATTCGCAGGGTGACATAACTTGCCCACAGTCACACTGAGAATACATTTAAATACATGTAAAACGGGGGTGATAAAAGAGGAGAACCTGCCTCAAAGGAAAGAAGAGAATGTCTACAAAAAGGGCCAGATACATGTGAGGGAGGGCAGGCAACAGGAGGGACAGCTCAGCAAAGACCGTCACTGCTGCAGAAAAAGACAACTGTGGGCACAGAGTGATGGCCTGGCAGCATCACCTTAGCCGATCACAGACAACCAATCATTCTTCTTGCATGGCTGGGATTTCCTTAACGTGCATCCAAAGTTGATGGTCCCATTCACTCCTAGCCTCTCTAGTCACTGCGATCACTTACTTTGTCCTCAGGGTTCCAGTGCAGCTTCTGTACTATATCAGACCCAAAATGGCCACTGTATAAAAGGGAGGAGCAGGTCAGCACTGGAAGCAAACAAGTCAAGGAAGAACCGCACACAAATGAATTAGGTTCAAAACAAGATCACTGTATAGGTTCCAAAGACTATGTTTGATGAATTGTTGCAAAGTCTAAAATGAAAATTTTCATTAGATGAACCAGGGGCTTAGGTTATGGACTGTGATGCATGGCACCAGTCAGTTAATAAAAACTTAGATCAAATTATACATACAGGGGGCAGCTAGGTGGTGCAATGGGTAGACCACCAGCCTTGGATTCAGGAGGACCCGAGTTCAAATCAGGCCTCTGACACATAACACTTACTAGCTGTGTGACCCTGGGCAAGTCACTTAACCCCACTGCCTAGCCAAAAAAAAAAAATTATACATGCACCTAGAAAAACAAAACAAGATGATCTAATCTTCAGTCTACTGAATGAAGAGGAGGTAAATAACCCTACTACAAGCTTCTGCTAGACATCTTACAGATGGAAACACTACTCTTTCTTCTACTTTTTTTTTTTTTTGGTGAGGCAATCGGGGTTAAGTGACTTGCCCGGGGTCACACAGCAAGTGAGTATCATGTGTCTGAGGCCGCATTTGAACTCAGGTCCTCCTGACTTCAAGGCCAGTGCTCTATCCACTGTGCCACCTAGCTGCCCCTCCTCTACTTTTTTTTTAACAGAACATGCCCAGGGTAATTGTTTCCTCCTCTTTTAGCCACCCTTCCTTGCCTGCCCACTTCTGATTCTTGTTCACTCATCCAGGAGGCTGATGTCTTTGTTTGTGGTCCAGTTAGGAAACTCTCATTTCAAATTTTACATCTTGTGGGCATAGGTATACCACCCCAAGGATGATCCTTCTTTCACCTTTTATCCTTCTCCTTAGGGGAGTACAGTCTCTCCCATGAACCACTAGTGTTCACTACATTTTACCGCTTGGTTTATTTCTACTTAGAATCATCACTCGCTGTAAAGGATACTACTAAATGCACTTACTCCACACCAGATGACCACCATCAGCCGGATCCAGAAGATTTGTTTGCTATGAATTTTAGGTTGCATTTTGTAGGAGAGGATTGTCTGAACAAACATATAAAAGGATCCCAGGCCAAAAGTGAGCACAGCTCCACATATGTGTGCTGCAAAGACTGTTGTTTTCTGAGGGAGGAAAAAGGAATATAGATCGCTTAGAGTACAATCCAAAACATTTTTGATGGTATTAATCATAGATTTTCAATTAAGCATTTATTGTTTCAGAAAGCTTTGGAAACTCTATACATAAGCTTTCTCAGAAGCCACTCATGAGTATTCTTAACGATTACAGTCAAACCTCATTAAATATTTGGAATTTGTGATAGTTCAAATGTAGGAAAACTTTATTCTTAGCTGAGTGAAAAGTCTGAAATAACTTCTTCCCCTATGATTTTTCAAGGCTTAACTCACACAGAAAAGGAATTCAGCCTAAAAATCAATGCTTCTATAAGGCTCAAAAAAGTAAAATCCCTATTTTGCAACTTCAATTTGAACTCACTTTTAGAATTCAGGGGCTAGAAAGGACCTTGGAAATTGTCTAACTACCCCTCATTTTCCAGGAAAATGGGGTCTATGTCAGTATAGGTGTAAAATCACATAGTTGCAATCCCAGTCCTAGATCCTGGTCCCATAACTAATTATTGTGTATTAGGAGACTTTTGGTATTTACGGTATATTTTACCTAATGAAGATTTCAGTATGAATTGTCATTTTCAAAATGAATTCATCTCATTTTACTTATCAATATCCACATATACCTTAGCTTATAAGAGAAACACGTGCAGTGACATCTTTTCTTTTATTCGATAATTTCAGCTTGTCACACAGTTAAATTATCTTTCCTTCACATTGTTCCAAATTAGCGAGGTTTCATTCTACCCCTCTGATGGCTCATGCTCCTTATACAGTGAAGAGCCTACTCCATTTAAATTTCTCTTAGGCCCTTCTTGGTCTACTTTATAAATATGGGAGGAAAACTAGTCAACATAAAATAAAAAAAAAAACAAAAGGTGTTGATAAAAATCCATTTTTTTAAAAACACTGCCATGCCACAACTCAATTTTATTGGTTCAAGGTAGTCCTAATACCTTTAAACAAGAGGCTAAGTTTTGGGCACTTTTGCAGTTTTTGCAAATGTAGCTATGGCAGGTAAGGAGAATGTCTGGAGTCAGGCAGTAAAACCATTTGATAAAACTGCCTGTCTATTGTAATGGTAGGCATCTGTTATCGCTACGAATCACTCTCAGCAAAAGAAGCCAGAAAAGATTCACTTATAAGGAAAAGAGGAAAATGAAAGTAAACATTCTTAGAATTCACTCTACAGAAATGACTGTGCCCCCTTGTGGTTACACTGCAAGGAGTGACAAAGCATCGGCCCTTTAACAACACACAGTGAGGGTCATTGTAATTCTCCATTTAACAGACACATAAAAGCACAAAACAGCAGCTTTAACAAGGAATGTTTCCAAACATTACATTTCACTTTGCCATTTTAGATGACACAAAACAACAGAAATTTAGAAGCACAAATGTATGACAAAACCAAATTAAATATACATATGTATTTAACAAATATTAATGGATGATGATGATAAAATACAGGAACTTATCTTCCATTTAATATAAAAATTTATTTTTTCCTTCAAGGGTCTATTTGACTGAATTTTCTAGGCAAGCAGAAATCTCCCACTGAGAATTATACTATTTTTCTGGAAATTTCATATTCACTTGTTTTCATGGAAATCTAATTTCAATTTTCCTAGGTCATACGATTTTTTGATGATAATTATGTTCTCTCAATTTGTAAGGGCCTTACCAAACTCTCTTTACTTCTCCAGGCCTCAGATTCCTCCTCTATAAAATGAGGGTTGAAACTAGCTGTTCTCCAAAATAATTTCTAGTTCTGAATATGTCATTGCAGAGGAAACATATTCCAACCTGCCTGGTCCCTTTAGCTTCTTTCCTCCACTCTCCAAAAACCTTCTGTTATTGACAAGCAAGTTTTAAGAATTATTTAAGCATACCTGATTCTTATCATATGGACAGTGATTAAATTAGGATTTGCATAATGTAAACCCTTCCATGAATACTGCAATACTCAGAAAGGTAGAAGATCACTACAGTAAAATAACCCTTTTGGTCCTAGAAGGAGACAGTACACTTAGTTTTTGTTAATGAAGTGGATTGCATAGTCTTCACAGCTGACCGAAGGGCAATGAAAAAGGCAGGCGTAAACAGGCTTCAACACCTCGCAAAAGATGACTCACAAACAGGAAATGGCATAAAACACATCCTCAGGTACACAAATGCCTGAAGATGGAGGCAGGCCATTTATGTAACAAGAATGAGGGATGGCTAGCCCAATCCCTGCAGATCCTTGATATTTCTGGAGTGCTTATGTCCATCACTGATGAGAGATGCTACCCCTACTTCTCAGCAAATAGTCGTCATAAGCTATGGCTGGTCAAGCTATTGGGGTCAACTTGGTGATATTTTACAAACTTAGCTAGGTTGGTCCTTAGACAAAAGACATATAGTCCATCACTAGGCTTATCCTCAGTCTTCTCACCTTGGTAGGATCTGCCAGGCCAAGCTGCTCATAGCTTAAGAGTATAAGCATGTGCTTCAAGAACCCAGAGTCATCTCCATGCCATGATGAGGGAAGAAAAAAGGACTTTAGTAGAGGTACTAGTATCCACCGACTATTCAAGTAACCAGAGCAAGGCCTTTAACACGTTGAATATACTCTCCATGTAGGATTTGTAGAAAGATAAGGATAAGAATTGCCCAGGATATAGGACTAGACAGGCTCCAATCTGAGTGCCATATTAAGTGGTCATATTGAGTAATAACAACGAAAAGTCCAATTCATTCAAGTACCCTGTAGTACAACTTATGAGACACAGATTCTTGGGGGGAAGGAGGTCAGAAATGTGAATAGAACCTTATTTCTAGGTGGGCAACATATTTTAAAATAATAATGATGATGATGGGATTTATGTGGTTGTGAAGTGCTTTCAATGGAGTCTTTCACTTACTCCTCACAGTAACTCTGTTAGATACTACAGCATTACTGACCTTCGCTTTGCAGACAAGGAAACTGAATCTCAAAGGCTAAGTGACTTGCCCATGGTCATGTAGCCAAAGCCAATTTCAGATCCAGGATTTGAGGCCAGTTTTTCCTGTCCTTAAGTCCAGCACTCTATGCCCTATGTCAAGTTAGATTCCTTTTTGACCAAAGAAAAAGAAAAGTCAGGCTGTAATAGGGTTAATCTCAGGCTTTTTCTACCATACAGTCGTTAGGGAAATATCCATGCTGGGCTTCTAGTATTGAATTCCATTTAGGATTCCTAGAAAATTGATAACTACCACACAAACCTGGAAGTTTGCCACGATAGAAAGTCCTAAGCAACTAAGTAATCCAAGTGCAAGGCCAGCCTTGTTTAATTTGATGATCCGAGGCTCCTCGGGACTGAGAGCATGAACTTGCTTATAACGAACATATATGGTGGCAACACCTAGAAAGAAAATTCAGAAGTAATAAAGTTTTGAACGACAAAGGAAAAAAATCACAAAGTTCATTACTCTGTGGCAACACAAATGGCCCTTTTGAAGGTAATCTCAAAAAAGAGGAGACAAGAGTCAAAGCCTATCAGAGCTGGAAGGGGCCTTAGCATCCCTCTAGGCCAGTGGCCATCTTCTGTACAACACCCTGACAACTCTGGCCACACCCATCTTGACCTCTTGGCAATCCATTACTTTGGAATTCCTTGCATCCATGTCCTATCACATCTCACCAAACTCCAATCTGGATTACTCTTACCATCCACTTCCTCTGTGCCTGCCTAAGTGCTGCTGAACAAAGGTAGAGTTATCCATAACTGTGCCAACAGGGTCCAACTGGGACCTTCCTTAGATCAAGGGAAGCATTCCAGTCCTTCCTTACTGAGGCACTTCCCTTTGTTGTCCCATCCGCCATGTCGTGCCACGATGTGTGGTTCTAGCCTAGGGCTCTGTTCCGGGCCGCCCTTCCTGTTCTCTTTATACACTTGATGACTTCATCACTCCCCTGCCTGTCTCTACTGCAAGTTTCCCACATCTAAAAGCTTTCTCCCCACACCTTCACCTCTTCAAGGCCCAGCTTCTTTTAGGAACCAACTAACGCTTCAAAGGCCATCCCATCCAAGGTTACTTTGTGTCTGCTTTATGTGGGTTTTGTATATGCTTACACAGGTGTGCATGCATGTAAGTATATACACACAGGTATATCTCTCTTCCTCTTTGAAGGCAGAAATTGTTTCAGTGTTGAATTTGCATCTCCAGCACCTAGTAAAATACCTGATGCAGAGTAGGTGCTTAATGCTTGTTGACTGACTTGAAGACTTCTGGTTAGAAGTTTTCCTAACTTCCAAGATGGCCCATAATACTTTGGGGTCAAGACAGAACAAATTAAACACTCTTTCCCCAGAATAATCATTTGAATATTTGAAGAATATTTGCCCTCCCTCCACCTGCCACCCCTAAGTCTTCTTTTGGCTAAACATCCTCAGTTCCTTTAGACAGTCCTCACATGGCCTGATCTCAAGGCCTCTCAACATCCTGGTTTCCTTTCTCTGGGTTTCTCATCCGCATTTTTCAAACTGGTACACAGAACTGAAGACAATACAGCAGGTGTGACATTAACAGGACATCATACTACAACTATACTATCACTTCTCTAATCTGGCTGGACATGATGCTTCTCTTAACAAAGCCCAAAATCACGAGCTATTTTTTAGGAGGACATAAGCTCCTAAGATGATTCCCAGACATATATATCCTGTCCAGGTCTCTCTCCAGAACTGTGGTCACATGTTAGCAAAACACTTTTGGAAATCTTGAACGGCGTCTATCCTCTAGGCATATGCAAAACAGAACTCCTAATGTCGTCCCCCAAACAATCTTCTATTCCCCACCTTTCCATTAATGTTTAGAGCACCACCATCGTCCTGATCACCCAGGCTCACCATCTCAGCCTCATCCTCGGTCTTACTATTTCTCATTTCTACATTCACAACATGTCTTGGATAGGCCCCCTTTCATCCACTTAGACAGCCACAAAAGTCATCTGGGCCTTCCTTGCCTCTTACCTGGACTACTGTAATACCCTTCTTCACGATCCCTCTTCCTTAACTCTCTTGCCTTCCAATCCATTCTCCACTCAGTGGCAAAGGTGACTTTTTTCTTTCTTTTTTTTTTTTTCGGGAAGCAATTGGGGTGAAGTGACCCCAGGATCACACAGCTAGTAACTGTGTGAGGCCAGATTTGAACTCAGGTCCTCCTGACTCTAGGGCTGGTGCTCTATCCACTGTGCCACCTAGCTGCTCCAAAGGTGACTTTTTTCTAAAGCACTGATTTAACCTCCAATCCACCCGACCTTCCCCTCCTCTTCTCCTCATCTCAATAAATTCCAGTGGAATTTTATTAGCCCTAGGATCAAATATAAACTCCTGTTTGGCTCAAAAAATCTTCATGACCCAACACCTTCCCACCTTTCCAGTCTACTTATACTTTACTCTCCTTCACACATGCTATGTTCCAGCAACACTTGCTATTCCTCAAACATGATGCTCTATTCCCCTTTGCTTTGGCTGTCCCTCACACCTGCAATGCTCTCTCCTCACCTTAGTGGCCCAGTAGCGCCAGCTGCTTAGTGCCTTCCACTCATAGATTCTCTTCTATCCGCTCTTTATGTATCTTGTACATGCGTAGTTATTTATGTTGTCCAGCCCATGAGAATCTATGCTCCTTACAAGCAGGTATCCCTGGAATGTAGTGCAGTACCTGCACTGTAGTAATTAATTATACTGAGCTAGTCGTCACATCACAACATTGACTCTTTTTATTATGGACTGCTGAGTAGCCATGCCTCTTCTATCCTATGCCAACAAAATTGCTATTTTTGAACCAAAGGGCTTACATTTGTTCCTATTAATTCATCTTACTGGATTCAGTTCTAACTTGTCAAGACCTTTTTGGCTCCTGATTCTCTCACCCAATTATCTATGCCTCCTAATTGTGAGTCCTCTGTATGATGGATAAACAAGCCATCTACATCTTTATCTAAGTCACCTTTATTTAAATCACCAAAATAAATGTGTTTCTGAGCACAGGGCCAAGCACAAACTCCTCCAAACTGACAGAGTTTCAACATTCATACAATTCTGAATCCACCACAACAGATGATTGGCTAGCCTATGTTTCTCCATTTTTTGCAATCAATCAACAGTATTTATTATATGCTCACTATATGATAGGCAGTCTGCTAGGTGCTAGGGCTTCAAGTACAAAAAATGAAATGATTCCTACTCCCAAGGAACTTAGATTCTAATGAGGGAGACAACATTACACAGCATAAATAGGAAGTTAATGCAAATATTTACAAAGTAGTTAAACACAAGATAGTATGGGAGAGAGATCACCGGTAGTTGGGGGAAATGAAAAAGAGACTTTATGCAGAAGATGGTACTGAAGCTATACCTCAAAGGAAGATAGGAGAAGTATAGGCAAAGGTGTATTCAACACATGTGGGATAGCTAGTGCCCACTGATGGGAGATGGAATACCATGTGTGAGGAGCAGAGAGAATGGCAGTTCATACAGATCAGAGTGTGGGGCATGATATAATAATGTAATATAATGTAAAAGCCAATGAGGCCTGGCATAGAGGCTTAATACAGGACAGGCTTAATAGGGCTTTAAAAGCTAAATGAAGGAATTTATATTTTATCCTAGTAGCAATAGAAAGCCACTGTTAAGTTGGTTAAGTAGGGGAACCACATGGTCAATCTGTGTTTGAGGAAAATTACTTTACAGATTTCATACAGGGAGAGCAGTAAGGAGGCTGTAGCAATCATGGAGGAATGCTGCTGTCATCACCACCCTTGTTCAGGCCCTTGTCACCTCTTGCCTGGCCCATTACAACAGCCTCCTAATTGGCCTCTTGGCCACCAGTCTTTCCCATCAGTGATGACAGGTCTGACCAGGTCATTCCTCTGCTCAAGAAATTTCAGTGATTCCCTGCTGCCTCTAAGGCCAACACAAATTATTCTGCTTGGCCTTTAAAAGTCTTTCACAATCTAGCTCCAAGCTATCTTTTCAGAAGGACATATTACTACTACTAAAATACTCTATGGTGTAGCCAAACAGGCTTACTCATTCCTGGTGCCTTTGTCCAGGTTGTCCCCCCCATTCCTGGAAGGCCCCCCTCCTCCACCCTGGGTAATCCCTAGCTTCCTTTAAATGCTAAAGTAGTTTTTTTTTTATCCTAGAGACCATAGGTAGCCACTGGAGCTCAAAAAGAAAGGAGATCACATGGTCCAACTTACACATGAGAAAGATCACCCTGACAGCTAAGCAGAGGATGGACTGGAGTAGGGGAAAGACTTGAAGCAAAGGGACCAGTTAGAAGTCTACTGCAATAGTTCAGGGGAGAGGTGAAGAGGGCCGAAAGTGATAACTGCGTAAGTGGTGAAACAGGACACATTCAACAAATGTTGTGGAACTAGAAACAAGATTTGGTAACAGACTAGATATATGTACTCCACAGGTATGTGGAGTGAGTGTGAGTGGAGTGAGGAATCAAAGTTGACTCTGAGGTTGCACTTCTGGGTGACTAGAGAATGGCAGTAGCCTTGACAGTAATAAGAACTTAAGAAAAAAATGGTTTTTGGTGGAAAATAATGAGTTATGTTTTGGCACATCAAATCTGAGTGCCTAGAGAACAGCCACTTCGAGATATCCATAAGGTGACTGGTGATGGGGCACTGTGCTCAGAAAGAGACTAGGGATAGATACAGATATCTGGGGATCATCTATGTAGAGCTGATAACTGAACCCATGCGAGCGAGTTAACATCACCAAGCAAGACAGCAGAAGAAGAAGGGGTAAGAACTGATAAGATCACCAAGTGAGAGCTTGGGGGAACGCCGACAGTGAACATGACATGGATAAAGAACCAGCACATGGGGACTGAGCCGTGGATAGACAGACAGAAGGTGGGTCAGCACAGAGACTCAGGCCTTAGTGAAGGGAGAGTATCCAGAAGGAGAAGGTGATCCGAAGTATTGAATGCTACAGAGAGGTCAAGGAGGATCAGGATTGAGAAAATGCCATTATATTGGGCAATAAAGAGATCACCAGTAACTCTGGAGAAGGTACTCTCAATTGAAAGGGAGTCAGAAGCTAGGTGGCAGAAGGTTTTGAAAGGTGAGAAAGGAAGAAGTGGAGGCACCTAATGTACAAAAGGCTTTCTCCAGGAGGTTAGCCACAAAGGAGGAGGGAGCCAGAATAGAGTTATAAAGGATGGTGGGATCAAGAAAGGGTTTTTAAAATATGAGAGAGACAGGAATGTATTAATAGGCAGGGAGGTTGTTGTTTGTCCTTCATTCTCGAAGAGGACCGTGACGCAGGGAGGCGATGCCAGGACTTGCAAATAAATTGGATCTGAGTGAGGCAGGGCTGTGCAAAGTCACCAGCCTCACTTTCTTCTCTGGAGCCACCTGAGTCCAGTGGTCAGATATAAATCAGAACGACTGCAGATGGCTTCCAGGCAGTGAGGAAAGTGCTAGCAGGTTGGGAAATAGTGAAGATAACTGAAGGGAGAATAGAGATGATGGGGTGGGGCAATCTGTTGGAGAAGTCAGGAGAGGAACGGGATCAAAATGTCATGTTGAAAGACTGGCTTTGGCAAGGAGAAGAGCTATGTCTTCAATACAGTGAAGGAGGAGGCTGTGGAGAAAGATGTCTGAGTAAGAGGAGATGAGTAAGAGGGGAGAAGGGGAAGTCTCAGTGAATGGCCCCACTATTTTCTGGTGAAGTATGAGACTGAGAACAGATAAGAAGGTATGGAACAGCCACTCTCAAGAGGGATGAGTAGGATAGCAAACTGACTGGGAAGAAATGGAACCTTTGTCTTATTACAGTGAGAGCTCAGTTGAGATTATATCATGTAAATTTGTGGTGGACCCAGTCAATGCAATTTCATAATTTTCTGTTCAGGAGCACATGAACAGGAATGAAGGAGGTGGATGGTAGGAAGAACATTGGGTTTTGGCAAGGCACGATCAGTGATAAGTCAAGGAGGGGCAAGAGATTCAAAAATGAAAAACAGTGTAAAGTTGAGTTGGTTCACCTCAGGAAGAGAGAAGACGAGAGAACACAGCCAATGTAGGGGTGATGGTCTGGGACAGAACTGAAGCATGAAGGGAATGGAGATAGTGAGGATGAAAATATATGATGGACTAGCATGGAAGCAAACTGGTAAGATAAAAACACTAGTTTAATGGGTATAACACCAACTTCAAAAACCTCTTTCACAGAGATAAACACAATTTTTTGTTGTTCATTCGTTTCAGTTGTGTCCAACTCTTTGTGTTCCCATCTGGGGTTTTACTGGCAAAGATACTGGAGTGGTTTGTCATTTCCTTCTCCAGCTTATTTTACAGATGAGAAACTGATGCAAACAGGTTAAATGACTTGCCCAGGGTCACACAGCTAATAAGTGTCTTGAGGCCAGATCTGAATTCAGGAAGTCTTTCTGACTCCACGCCAGGTGCTCCATCCACTGTACCACCTAGTTGCTCCAATAGACACAACTGTTGTATCTTTAAAAGATACAAGAATTTGGGAGTAACAGTTTAACTGTCGTTTTATGAGGAATCTATAAGAAATGGGAGTTAGACCACTGTTTAAATTAAGCTTAACCCTATATCATTTAAAAAAAAAAAGGAAAGAGAATTTAATTGGTATCCCGAGTAAACTGAATGTTGAGACTTTTCTAGAAATGAAGATGAGTCAGTGGTCATAATGATAGTTAAAAGATGACTTTGGCAGTGATCATATTCATAGCCGTAACATTGTAAATGACTATGTAAGGCATCGTTCTTTTGTGTGTTACACCATTATAAGGAATATACTGTTATAAGGAATATAGCCAGTAACCTCAATATTTATTGAAGTCTAAGAGATCAGGTGGGTTAATATATATACACATACATTTTCATGGGTGTAAATATATATATATATACACATATATACATATATATGTATACACACACACAAACACATCAATACAGAAAGACAGACAGAGATGAGGTAGGAGGTAGGCACAAACACTTATAGGAGGTTTCTCCAATTTGTGGTTGACCCTAAATTATTTATATGGGCACAACTGGTTTCCCCCTCCACCCTGATCTGCTACAACTACAGCGTATCTCATTTTATTATTATTGGGTGGAATTGGTGGAGTTTTTCATTTCTCTTTCTCACTGGTCATCCTTGATTGGTGGGGTAGGAGAGGGAGAAAAATCCAAGGCCAGTACTGAGTATGTAAGATTAGTACTCAGCTGAAATGCTTCTGGTTGACACAATTTCTCCTTGGATCTAGGAGGGCTGAGAAGGAGAAAAAAACTTGCTTCATTACTCTATATGAAGCTGTTATTCTGCAACCCTGGGAGCGACATCTACTACTGAGCCAAGCCCTAGCAATACAGCTACTGTAACATTTTGCAAATGCTGATGAAAAAAAAAATCAGCATGTATTTATTTACAAAAACTTCAATAATTCAATTGAAAAACAATCTGTATAAAACTTGAGGTAATTTTTCACCCACTATAACAAGCACATGTCTGGTAACAGACAATCTAAATGTCTGCAGGACAAAGCCTAGACCAGTTAAGTTGGGAGAACTTTTGAAGATGCTTCAGAAAGCTGCTGAGGAGGCTCAGAGATCTGGGTCGATGTGGTAGTGGATGAAATCACGTTTTCTTGAAGTTGTGAGAGATAAGCAACATTTTAAAAGATAAAGAATAAGTTCAGCTGCTACTATTTTTAACAGTATACTTCAATCAACTACTGTCAAGATAGGTAACTACTTAATCGAGAAGATGGTAAGGCCATTGATAGTACTTACACAAGACTGCAGCGATATTTAACATTACCCCAAACAAGCATTTTTCTGGAGCCACTGTTCCAGTGTCACTGAAAGAAAAACATCAGTATGTGGATACTTGCACCAAAAATACTGCCCATTATTCACAATGAGGAAGAGAAGTATGTCAGAACCTTCTATTCTCTCTAGAAATCCGTTTTGGCCTAATTTTTCTCATGGCTTTCCTTAAAGAGAATACAATAGTATGACTGGTTTCATTTTCTTTTTACTTTAACCATGTGACTTCACTTATGAACATTTGTTATTCAAATGCCAGAAAGGAAACTTCCTTCATGGAGAGGAGAGGAATTATTAATATTATTATCATCTTCATTATCCCTGGCTTACAAAGTATACTTAATTCAGCATCTATTAAGTACCTACTGTGGAAAGAAGAGGTGTCAAACATACAGCCCGGGCCTGGGAACTAGATTGATGTAACTGGAAAATATTTAACAAAATAAATAAAAATATAATACAACATAGGTAATGTTAATGTGTGGTTTTCTCTAAGTCAATAGGCAGCAGTTGATAAAGCTCCAGGCCTTGAGTCAGGAAGACCCCAGTTCATATCCAGCCTCAGGCACTAACTAGCTCTACCACCCTAGACAAGTAACTTAACCTTTGTTGCAAATACAACTTCTGTAAAATGGGGATAATAATAGCAGCAACCACCCATGGTGGTTGTGAGGATCAAATGAGACAATTACTGTAAAGGACTCAGAGCAAAGGATTCCTGGCACATCACAAGTGCTCTATAAATGTTGGCTAGTATTATTAATATTCATGATTATCCTCATTTATGATTTAGTGGTTCCAGTTTACAGTTGAGTTTGACACCACCAGTATCGAGAAGACTGTGCTTAATCTATACACATGTAAACAATGAAAAAGTATTCTTTCCAGTAAGTAAAGGTTATATTATTATTGTTATTATTATTATTTTTTTGGCTAGGCAATGGGGTTAAGTGACTTGCCTGAGGTCACAAAGCTAGTAAGTGTCTGAGCCAGGATTTGAACTCAAGTCCTCCTGACTCCAGGGCCAGACCTTTATCTTTGCCACCTAGTTGTCCCTAAAGGTTGTATTATTAACCCATCATCATTGCTGGGGCACAGACCCCAATAATGGTGACATGTTACTCTAAGTCACCATGCCCCCACATCAGGTAGTATAAATATATAAACTGACTACCCAGGATTAGAAGAGCGTTTACACCAGAAAATAGAGCTTTACTCTAAAAGATATCTAGTTGAGAGACTAAATTAAAAAAAAAAACAACCTAATTCAACACTAGATTCTACCCAGAGGTCTTTCCCTGACCACTGACACTCAATTAACATACACCATCATTCACTAGATCTTCACAATTCTCTGCCTTTTAAGGAAAAAAATTCTACTTAAATTCCAATTTATTTTTTCAGATTCAGTCACTGTGATAAACCTGATGTTTTATCATCCTAAGCAAGGCATACAGCTGGGTAGCAATACAAGCTTATAATCCCTTCTACTGGGGAAGGCTGAAGCTGGTGGATCTCATGAGTTTGGGAGTTCTGAAGCTGCAGTACGGCTAAAACTGATCAGGTATCTACACTAAGTCTAGTATAAATATGGTGAGCCCCTGGGAGTAGAAAGTCACTAGATTGCCTAAGGAGGGTCAAAACTACCTAAGTCAGAAAAACTGATGGATGAAGCTTCCATGTCAATCAATATTGGGACAGGATTTGTGAGTGGCTGCTGTACTGTCAGCCCGAGTGGAACAGAAACATTCTGTCTCCAAAAAAAAAAAAAAATCGCCTAAAATCACTGAACTTTGCAAGGACAAGTTCAGAGTACTCTAATTAAGGCAGCCAAGATGCATGCAAGAAACTAGCCAACATAATGGGAATCACTAAACATTCCCATAAAGGTATCTCGGTAATTATCTGCAATGAGAAACTAATTGCTGTGAACAAGTGATGTAGGTCTTTACAACCAAAAGTATTCGTTCCACAAATACTCGATTTCCACAAACACCTAATTTGGGCAAGTTACAAGGTCCTCAGAAGCAAGTGCAATTTCATTGTTACATCTGTATTCCCAGTGACTAGCAGGATCTGGCACAGTAGGTGTTTAATAAATGTTTGATGACTGAAATAGCCAAAATGTAAACCTTGTTCCTTAAAGAATGGAGGAATGAAACGTACACAAATAATAGTGATATAAGGGACAACGAAGTAAGTCACAAAAGAGATGTTTCTGCATAACAATGTCAGCAATTTGAGAAGAAAAGATCACTTTTACTTGGGCAGAGGGGTCCTTCAAAGAAACTTTTATGCAGGAAGCATCATCTGAATTGGACATTGAAGAAAGGAGGATTTCAACAGATGGAGATAAGCGTGCAAGTAAAAGCACAAGCATAAGTATAAGGCGAGGGCAGGACAAGAAGGAAAAGACAGAGAGCTGTCCAGTTTGGATTTAACGTGGACTGTATGAAGGAGAATTGTATGAGGCAAAGCTTGACAGCTAAGTTGGAATCAGACTGTGGAAGACCTCAAATACCAGAGTCTCGAGTTTATACTTTATTCAGTGGGAAATAAGGTATCCCTGGAGATTTTTGAGTAGAAGAGCAATATGACCATAGTGATATTAGGAAGAGTTGGGAAGCAACGTGGAAAACAGAGAAACTGGATGCAGGAAAATGGTCGAGAAGGCTGTTGCAGGGGCAGCAAGGTGGCACAGTAGGTAGAGCACTGGCCCTGGAGTCAGGATGACCTGAGTTCAAATCAGGCCCCAGACACATAACACTCACTAGCTGTGTGGCTCTGGACAAGTCACTTAACCCCACTGCCTCACAAAATAAATAATTTTTTTTTTAAAAAGGAGAAGGCTATTGCAATAGTGCAAGGAGAGATGAGGCTTTGAACTAGGGTGGTGGCAGTGGGGCTGCAGAGAAGGGCCAAGACATGAGATATACTGTTAAAAGAGAAATCATTAGATTTGGCAGGATGGGGAAGAAATGAAAATAACTGCAAAATTAAAGCCTTAGTGAATGGGGAGACCATGGTGCTTTCAGCAAAAATAAAGAAATTAGGGGAGGGGCAGGTTTAGGCAGGGAAGATGAAGAGGTCGGTTTTAGAAATGCTGAGGTTGAAGTATCAGCAAGCAATTCAGAGGAAGTGTGTATCGGCAGTTAAAAAATATGGAACCAGAACTGAAGATGTTATGGTAAATGAAACATGAATTTAGAAATCATCTGTACAAAGGTCATTTTGAAGTCAGGGAAGTAGATAAAATCACTTAAGGAGAGTGCAGACAGAGGAGGACTATTCCCAGAACTTTAGGGAAGACTTCCATTTAAGGGCTGGGAGGAACATCAGGAAGCAGCAGCAGAAGCTGGTGGACAGGAAGAGAACTCTAACATCACAGAAGACAAAGGAGGAGAGAGCGTCAAGGGAGAGATGATGCCAGAGGGGGTCAAGGGTGAGGACAGACATAAAATGACATTAGTAATAAGGTGGTCATTAGGGGCCTTGGAGGCAAGAGGCAGTCATAGAAGCTGGCCTGGAAAGGTTTGAGGGGAAAATGTGTGGTAAAGAAGAGGAGGCAGAGAGTGTTGACCAAGAATCTGGCAGTTACAAGAAAAACAGAATAAGCGTGGAAGGTGGTCAGGGTAAAATAAACGATTTTTTTCAAGATGGGAAATGGGAACAAATCTGCAGACTGAGTTAGTAAGAAACCTAGCAGAGGGAAAGAATGAAAATGGATCAAGGGGATGGGGGTGTAGAGAGTTCAAGGCATTAGCTTCCACACGGAGAATTTTCCTGTGACATTGATCCCTCTGATGCTTCTTCCTAGCCTTCTTCCTGCCATGCTAAACCAACCTCTGAAGAGGACTTACAGAGATCATGCCTTGGAAAAGCTAAGCCACTGGGCACCCACACCTCAATTCTCGACCATTGTGTCTAGCCAACCCCAGAGCCCCGACAACGCCCCTGTGTGGGTGCCTTTGTTTGCTGTTCCTTCTCTAACTCTGGGAACAGTAATCAAAGCAACACTGTCATGGACACTGCAAAGGGCTTGTCAACTGACAGCTCACTAGGCCCACCACAATTTCCCAGTGAGCAGCGGGGAGTTCCTCTGATCCTCTTTCATTTGAGGACAGCACCCAGGGAATTCTCATCATTTCTCATGTGGCTACTCTCCAGAAATTCATCAGTCTGCAGGATGAAATTAACTCAGACACTCACACATCTTCAGATCACTTCCCACCCTGGTTGCACGACCTCATCGTGGCGGAGGTGGGTAACCTCCGTCTCTTCGCCTACTTTTCCGCTTTTTAGGTGTTGCTTCCCCCACAGACTGGGAGCTTTTTGAGGGAAGGGATATCTTATGACTTTCTTTGTATCACCTACACTTAGCACAGTGCCTGGCACATAGCAGGTATTAACACTGACAGGACCAAGTATCTTTTCTTTCCCCAGTCACCATTCCCATGCACAATGGATTGAGGAAGATCAATCCTCACACTGGAGTGAAGAAGATCTCAATTCAAATTCAAACTCAGACATTGTATGACCCTGGGCAAGTCAATGAACTTCTATCTGCCTCAGTTTCTTTATCTGCAAAATAAAGATAATAATAGTGCCACTTCCCAGGGTTGTTGTGAGAATAAAATTAGATTTTTGTAAAGTACTTTGCAAACTCTAAATCATCATATAAATGGTAACTATTATTATAAATGATATGTACATCATCTTGCACATTAGTGTCTCCCCATTAGAATCTAAGATCTTTGAGGGCAAGGACTATCTCTTTTGTATCTGAATCCCCAATGCATAAATGCTTAATAAATGCTTTCTTTCTCATTCCTTCATCCTAGAAGAATAGAGGAAAGGATGTCTTGTAGTGAGAATAAAGGAGCAGAATATAGATGAGGGAATTCATCAAGGACAGACTCAATATTGTCAGCAAGGTAGTAGGCAAAGTCAATAAGTAAGAATCAAGTGGGAAGATCTGGAGAAGAGAAAAGATTTAAAACAGCCACTGTGGAAGGAATGAAAGTGTCAACAA